TTTTTTGCATATAATACCATAGTTATTGCTTGCTTTATCAAGTGGACAGAATATATAATTCTTCTGATATTTCTTAATTGTTTCGTACGGATATCTTTCATTTTTACCACCAATGTTCCTGTAAATAAGAATAGGTTTGACTTTGTAATGGTACATTTGATATAGGAAGCATTTGATAAGTGAAAGTGTTTGTTTGTTAGCTTTATATTTGTATTGAAAGTATTTAATGAGTTCATTAACAATAGAATCATATGTATCTTTGATCTTTGCTCTGTTTATTCCTTTGTCTAATCTATATTTAGTGCCCTTACATAGAAGGTTCCTGAAATCTTCTTCTTCTACAATGTTAAGATCTCCAGTAACGACATGTCCATAATTAGGATTGATATACTTATGTACTTTATCCGATTCACAGGTGCAGTTATTATTGAGTATCCTTACAATTTTTTCATTGTTGAGGCTTTTTAAGAAATAGTTATAATTATATACCATACTGGATGCTGTATTATTGTACTTGTAAATAATCCTTATAGGTACATATTCTTTTTCTTGTGCATTGTTATGTAACAAAAGTTTTTTAATCTCTTTAGAGTTGAAAATGCTATTAAAGGGTATTTCATTAAATACATAACTGTCAAAGTTGACAACTATATTATGAAACCTGTTATGTGTTTTCTTGACATCACTTATATTATACTGAAAATGTGCAAGTAAGCAGAAAATCAAAAACCTTGTTTTATTATTAACATTTTTTAAAAACTCACTGCTGAGAGATAACTTCATTATTTTATGTATATCTTTATTGTTTAGTTTTTTGAGTAACCTATAGTATTTTATTGGTTTATCTAGGTCTGAATTATTTGTTATTTCATCTAATGCTTGTTCTAAATTATATTTACCATTATTGGTTTTATTATTTCTTCGATTTCCTCTATTTCTTCTTTCTTTGGTAATTTTTAGAGCAAAGTATGGTGGATTTTTCTTTAGAATAACTGGGGAATCTATACCAGTAATATTACCATAACCTTTAATATTGTCATTCATTCCAAAGGGAAAGGGAGTCATAAGTAATTTAATCCAAAATAATTCTTTTTCTAGTAGTGTTACTTTTTCATTGGAGTTAATGGAGTCCAGTACAGTTACAGTTATTCCTTCTTCACATTCTTCGAAGTGTTTATATAAAGGTGTATGCACTTTTCGCTTAGAGATGTTATTAATATGTTCTAATACCCTTTCTCTGAGTTTTCTGGTGGTTATTCCTACATATTGTATTCCACATTTACAACATGTTAGACAATATACTACATTTCTTGTGTTACAGTTAGTATTAAGATCTTTGTAAGTTTTAATATGTAAACCAGTGACATTAGATACTATATAGTTACTTGTATTAGTAATTTCACACACTCTGCAATGCCTGTTGCATTTACAACCTTCATTTTCATTACCAAAATCTTTAACAGTATAGTAACCGGCATCTATCCTTACCTTTTTAAAATTGGTTGTTGTGTAGTAGTTGAAAACATTGAATTGAACTTTGTTTTTTGACCTAGAATCTAAGCGCATGAGTGGTCCAAACCCATACGCAGAGAGGAGTCTCCCGAAGGTTTGGCAGGGCTGCTGCCCAGGGGTGGCTCTCCCTGCAAGAACTACTAGCGCTGGAGGCGCCAAAAACTGACCCCTCTTGCCGTTTTTGACTTGTATAACCCCGTCAGCGCTAGTCCCTATTTTTATTAACAAGAGGTATGGCCCTCTTGAATAGTTGAATATGTGAAAGGTGTTAATGTTATATGGAGTAAATGAATGAAAGGAAAAATAAATAATAGTAAATAAAATTGTAAAAATATAGATGCCAGTTGCAATTTTTTGAAAATGAAGGTTATGTGTACATTCAATGCAGAGTGACCTGATATTTAAGAGGGATTAACAGTAGGGATAAAAAAGGGGGGGTAAAAAAGGTTTCGGCAGTATAAGAATGTGATCTATTGACCTATTTTTTATCGTATTAGTTAGGTCCTGTGGCGAACAGAACGTGATATTTTGTGATTGAAAAAAGTTGGCCTAAAATTTGCATTGTTATCGGCTAGTACTTCTTATCCTACGCATGTGTCTGCAAAGCAATTATGGCTTTTATCATTAATACGTTGTATTACTTATATAATACATCCACTTATACTATTGACAGATTTCGTTGAACAGCATTACTTAAAGTGTTATACCATAAATACCATCATGTCTAATAAAATAGTGTGGTGAAATGCATGAACTTGATGAAAAAGTCACGAAAACGTACCTTCTCACTGGACCCGAGAGAAAGGTTTGGTTGTTACCATCAATTAAAACCAACAGCAGTACATATGAGGCGTTGTTTCTTAGGAATTACACCAAGAGCCTAGCTAATAGTAGCCTCTTGGTCGCATTCTACTAAAAACAACCTGCAATAGCAAACTTAATTAGTTGTCGTTTGACTATGTAAACGGTTATATTTCGCTAACCAGAGTATTCAAGTAACGAAGCACAAAAAGCGTATTGCTAATAACCCAATCTCACAGCAGTAACTCGTAGGTATCAGAAAAAGAAAAAAGGGGGAATGTAGGAAAAAGCAAGATGAGCTAAGTGGTGTACTTATCTAAATCGTATATGGAGTATATGCTTAGTGAGTTATATGTCTGTAAAAGAAGGGGTAATATAAAAGGAAGAACGTGTTAAGTTGATAGGATGCTAAACCTCTTTGTAATTATAACAGACCATAGCAGGAAAGAAGTGGGTGACGATAAATGCTACAGAAATAGGAACATATTAGAGGATGGTAACTTCCTATCACATAAATCCAGTTAGGACCAGCAACAACACGAAACGATTCCATTCGTTTAAATGCAAGTACAAGTGAAAAATAACAAGAGAGATTTCGGAGTCCGTGTGAACGGGTGTTACAGTAACCCATTGTCATTGGAGCGCGATGTGGCATTAGAGCATGATCGATAAATCCTTCAAGAAATTGGCCTTCAGTAAGGCAGAAACGAAGTGGGACCATTCTTGCATTGTTGATTTGGTTTTTACTACAAATGGAATTTGAAATTGTGTTATCAAGAGTGGAATCTGAAGTTCTGTCACCTGGTGAACGGTTCGACTGGGTTGAAAGATCTTATCCAATATGATTCTGAATTTATGTAACTTGAGATGTAACACGCCACGAATACTTGAGGTGATTTTTATGTCGTAAGATGAGGATTTTAACAACCCTGTTTATTCAGTTATATAGTTTGGAAAATTGTTTGTGACGTTCGAGTATGACCGGAGAGACCTACAAACAATAACAACAAACAATATGTAACTCGAAATAAAAATAACTTTCCTCCAAACAATATGTAACTCGAAATAAAAATAACTTTCCTCATCTCCTGAAGCGGTTATCTAACATTGAGTGATTTTGCATTTTGATGGCGCAATTTACTAACAATCGGTGCCAATTGCATACAGTATCTATAGATGAGCGAATCTACGAGAGAGACTACAAACAATAACAACAAACAATATGTAACTCGAAATAAAAATAACTTTCCTCATCTCTGTGTGCGGTTATCTAACATTGAGTGATTTTGCATTGGAATAGCGCAATTTACTAACAATCGGTGCCAATTGCATACAGTATCTATAGATGAGCGAATCTACGATTACCAGTGAGTGAAAGTGGACGTTATGCTATCACTAATTATAGGAAAGACAGAGGATTCTTGACAAAAATGAGACCAAAAATCACCAAGCAAGAGTGAACACAAGTCAACAGCAGTAGTAACAAATCTAGACAACCTATCAAGCATAACAAAAACGAAAGAATGTGAAATTCCTAAAAGTCAGCACTCACTGTACTCCATTTTCCCTGAACTACATACAGTGCACTGTGCACTGAGTGCAACACAACTGCCGAGGTGGCCCCAGCAATCGCAAAAAGTGCATTTTAACCAGTAAATATCATCATCAACATTATCAATCGGGTTTTCCAGGAAACAACTCCCACAGACCCGCACTTCTGCCGACGAAAACTCCTTAGGCGCTTCAAATTTCGTCTTACGCTTTTCTCGGTTGATACATGATTTCTGAAAAAAGTTCTCAAAGTGGAGGACCAAAGAAATAATATTGAAAGGACCAAAGAAATAATATTGAACAATCAGCGAACTAACTGTTTTCATGCGGATGGGTTTCGCATCTTTTGGCGCAGGTCCTCTCATCGGAAACCTCTGGACGAACGGCGATGGTCCGCATTTTCTGAGCCGCAGGAGCAAGCATAGAGAGCCTTTCCTTCGCGTCCGAATGTATTTGTTTCATAGAGGCAAACAGATCACTCGAAGACTGCTCGGCTTGCTCACTTGGTTGTGAAGCTATCATTCTCAATGTCGCTTGGAAGGAAGTGCACTCCTACAACAATGAATATCTATATTAGTGAGTAGCAAATTTTTCCGGTACCATACCATTGCAAATTTCTGGATCCACTCCTTGTTTGTATCGAGGAGGCTCTGGTTGGTGACGTGAAACGGCTGTGAGCTACTGGATGACGGCTGTTGAGCGCAGCATCCGAAGGTTCATAGCAGCGGGAACTGCTGTCAAGAGCGTCCGCGTCTTCGGCACTTGGGAGGCGTCCTCAAATGCACAACAAATAATACAACACATAGAAAAAAGGGTCGCCAAACCCCCACTCACCTTCTGGTGCGTATAAAACGGCAGCATGAACGTGCATGCAAGAGACTCCTGCCTTGCGGTCATCGTCGCATTCGCAAAAGAATGAATAAGGACAAGCAGAGCAGCCGGGCTTACGGCAATGACTGAGGGCCTACACATAATGATTCTGATTTAGCAATTAGTAGTACTCTTTTCTCGCTAATTACCTTTTTACATGTACAGCGCTCTTCCTCGACCATGAAAAACTTATTGGAATTTGGAGAGCGGATCTTCCACAGGCCTGGCTCAACGACAGTAATCAGCTGCTTCAAGTTTAGGTAGTTGCTTATCGCTTTGCTGTGACTGATATGATGGTTTTGAAGACGAAATCGCCCTTCTACGAGCCCTCTATGCTCCTAAACAGACTAATGTTACCAACGTCCCTTGCCATTAATCAACTGAAACGACTCACTATTACTGCAGCATCCTCTTTCATCTCTTTCACTGCTGTGATGAGGGCGTCCACCAATTCATCTATTCGTATTTTGCTCTTTGAGCCGAACACTTCCCTTTTAAGATGTTTGTGCCATCGTTCACACATCATAGATGTGTTCATAACTGCTCCTCTCCTGTGGATGAGCTGCCCACTCCTCTATTCTATTCGTCCTTAATTGCACGGTGAATTCCAAATTTCATAATGGATCACGAAGTGTTACCAGTTTTGGTGCAGATAGTCGACCATTTCATGTTGGTTCTGATTCAGTAGAAACGTCAATGTATCTCCGTATCTTTTTGTGAACAGTGTCGACTTGCACGATCTGCTGACAAGTCGAATCCTGGACATAAACTCTCCAAGCAGGGACGGCTAAATGATCAGTGGGCTAATTAATGAATGATAAACAAATTATCAAAAAGAAACGTGAGAGTGTGTGTTCTGCCTACTTTGGTCAACTTCTTTCTTGCTGAACGTTTGAACGTTTGCAGCACATGCCAATTACAGAGAATCTTCCGCGTTTGTGCTTCAGGGAATACTCTTCGAAACGCGTTGTAAAACGATGGAGCGTCGTCACTCATGAAGAATTCGGGAGCAAATGCAGGAACTAGTTCCTTGACCTTATCGAACAAGACTACCAACTCGTTCTCACTCATCCTACACAATAGTATTTAAACAGTGGCAAAGTGTAAAATGCTGTTGCTCTACCTGAAACTCAGCATGAAAGCGGCTGGCAATGCTCGGTCGCAGTGATCAGCCACGATAATCGTAGCGAGTCTAAGTTTGTACATGGACACATTAAATGTGTCATCGATACCAATCCCTCTCTGCGAGAAGTCCGCCAACCATTCGCGCTGCGTCTCATTTATAATTACTGGAAAAAGAGTAGTGAAATGCAAGCGAAATGCAAGCCCGTCGCGTACCTAAACAGAACCCATCGCCGGTGTCGTCGACAATAGGAGCGTAATGACGGAATCCGTCGCTAACGCTCTTGTCACTTATACGCTTCTCAAGAGAGGTTAAGTCGTTGAAATCACGTCGTCCAGGGTAGAGATTGTTTCGCCTGGCGATAGCTCTGAAAAGAAGGCAACCTAACACTACCTGGAAGATTCCGGCAATGTTTCCAACCAAACCTTATGTCTCCCACTGTCACGAAGAATAGACGATTTTCCTTCCCTGTGATCCCTTCTGGTTTTCGGAATTTCTCCCTAATCTTCTGCTTTACTTGTCCATAAGTAAAACCTTCTCTTATCAAATTCACAACTAATTCTTCACTTGTTTTATCTAGCCGTAGACGGGATGAATCTGGTTCATGACCAATATGATTAAGACAATATTCGACGTGAACATGATGGTCTACAGTGATCTTTGCCTGAAGCATCTAGTTATACTTGACTGTCCAAAACAGTTGCTAGATAGCTTACATTCACAAAAGCAGTGCAGTGCCTGACTGATCGTTTGCACGTATTAGTCGATGCAGCAGAAAGTGGAGGAGGGCCAGATCGGTGACATCTGTAGTATAAACGAGTACCATCGCTTCCAGACTTCCTGCTGCGCTTTACAAACGATGTTGTTGACGTTTCCTGCGCGGATCTCATCCACTCCTTAAATTACGAGCCTCTTTCGTTGAGATTCCGAGCGACGAAAATTCCTCACCTCAAAATCATCCTCATTTTCGAACGATATTTGACTTACAATATAGCCTTCGTCAGTGCAATGAAACATTGCGCAGTGCTTCACAAGATCCCTCAAGTCCCGCGCCACACCATCACATTTCGGACACGTTACGGTTCCATTTTCTGATAAATCATTTCATTTTAAGAATAAATTTTCATACGCTCCATTAACTTCGTTACCTAGTTCGTAAGACTGTTTTTCTGTACAGTGTTTTCGTGCTTGTACAGTGAGTTCCTCAACGAGAACTCTTTTTCACAATCCATGCAGCGAAAGATTTCATGGTTGTCCTCCAATTCACCCCTTTTTCTGAACTCTCCCCTTGACCATCTGAGACAACTAATTTGTTCCTTGGTGTAGTCGTGGTATTTGAACAAGTGATCATACAGACGCAGAACCTCCTCACCACATAAAAAACATTCCGACGTCGCTGACATGGGCATCTGAAGAAATTCACAAGTTCTAGCGAGTACTTTAAAGAGCACCATAAAGTTTTCCACGAATCATCGGATACGCAGCATGAAATTTGCGTTCAGCAGCAAAAAATGTATGAGCATGCAGCATGTAGCAAATATGATGAGCTCGTGCAGAAATGGAGACAAAGTATCATATTGTAAATAATACAGAATAAAAATATTACAAAGTGTTACGCAGAACTGACCTTGCTAGTTGTTAAAGAATGGCTGAGCTACAAAGCAATTCCTGAAAACCACTTCCTGCACGCAAGTAAAGCAATTCCTGAGGAGATCCTGAAAAACTGAACTGAATCTGTAATTAGTAATGTCCTCAAGGGCGTGGTTTTGAGTACTAGCATGCGCTGCAATCTGAAACCTCACTCAATGCTAACAGAGAAAACATAACAGATGAACAGAGTGAATGAAGAACCTAAAGTTTTCCACGAATCATCGGATACGCAGCAAGAAATTTGCGTTCAGCAGCAAAAAATGTAAATATGATGAGCTCGTGCAGAAATGGAGGCAAAGTATCATATTGTAAATAATACAGAATAAAAATATTACAAAGTGTTACGCAGAACTGACCTTGCTAGTTGTAAAAGAATGCTGAGCTACAAAGCAATTCCTGAAAACCACTTCCTGCACGCAAGTAAAGCAATTCCTGAGGAGATCCTGAAAAACTGAACTGAATCTGTAATTAGTAATGTCCTCAAGGGTGGTAGTTTTGAGTACTAGCATGCGCTGCAATCTGAAACCTCACTCAATGCTAACAGAGAAAACATAACAGATGAACAGAGTGAATGAAGAACCTAAAGTTTTCCACGAATCATCGGATACGCAGCATGAAATTTGCGTTCAGCAGCAAAAAATGTATGAGCATGCAGCATGTAGCAAATATGATGAGCTCGTGCAGAAATGGAGACAAAGTATCATATTGTAAATAATACAGAATAAAAATATTACAAAGTGTTACGCAGAACTGACCTTGCTAGTTGTTAAAGAATGGCTGAGCTACAAAGCAATTCCTGAAAACCACTTCCTGCACGCAAGTAAAGCAATTCCTGAGGAGATCCTGAAAAACTGAACTGAATCTGTAATTAGTAATGTCCTCAAGGGTGGTGGTTTTGAGTACTAGCATGCGCTGCAACCTGCAACCTCACTCAATGCTAACAGAGAAAACATAACAGATGAACAGAGTGAATAAAGAACCTACGAGCGTTTCGCCCTGTAGACTGCACATTTACATGCTCTAATGCCACGTCGCGCCCCAGTGACAATTAGGGTTACGGTAACACCCGTTCACACGGACTCCGAAATCTCTCTTGTTGAAAAATACATTTTCGCATGAATGGCGTGTAATTCGGTGTGTCTATAGATTGAGGTGTGCAATTGCACAATTTATGTTGATGTTATACCGTAACCTGATAAAATAAGAAAGAACTGTGTATTTTCCTTATACATCGTCCATATTGTTAGTTTTTACATGTGTAATACTTTAGTTTATACTGAAGGAGATTACGTATTACCTACGCTATATACGTTGAGGTCGTTTGTGTCGGACACTTTTTTAAAAATTGTAATTATAGGAAGATTGAGTACATCCAATCTGTCATCTGGACATCGCAACGTATTCAAGTGTTAGAATGGTACTTATTTGATTAGGCAGGTAAGCTTTTACAGTCATATGGTCTTAATGAGATGTTTAAATGGTTTATTGCTTTCATGTGTAGTAGCTGTTATTTATATTGAATAATTTTATAGAAGAAGGCTGTCTTTTATATTGAATAATTTTTATAGAAGAAGGCTTTGTGTCAATCTGTCTGAGTCCATCTATCCTTCAAACCATAGTTTCAAGGGATTAAGGTGAGTAATTGTCATTTTACCTAGAACATATCCATATAGTTAACATAATAATGACTATGCAGTAAGCTACAGTGATTTGATGAGATCATATCACTTACATTATTATATGTATAGCAACATTATTTTATAGGAAAGTTCTTAAGGAGTCCATATCCATCTATCCGTGTCGAATTTTATTTGAATCATTAGTATTATCAGGCTTATTCCCTAAAGATAGGAAAACAAGGTAAGTCATGGAAGAAATTATATGTGAAGAGTATTAGTAACTTGTTTATTTAATTAATTATGTGAGATTAAGGTGTAATAACCTGACGGAAACCGCTTTTTACGAATATTATATTCTTCATCGTATAAAGGATTCAGGTGAGTAAGTGCCATTTACTTCGATGTTGTGTTATACTTTACCGACTTTATTAGAAAGGCATAATTGTGCAGTAAGGTACAATGAACTAAGATTTAGTTTAGATCCTTATTGTTTTGTGTAGTAACATAGGATCTTAAAGGAAGTGCTGTGTCGACTTATCGGTTTTGGTTTTGCTACTTAATTGGTCCTCCTATCCCTTTTGCAGAGCATAGGAGTAACTGGTATGTCTTAAAGTGTCTCTAAAGTCAAGAGTATCATATATATTTTTTTATGCTTGATTTTATTTTGAGATACAGGTGTGTTGACACGCAGATACCTTGGTTATCAATTCAATACATTTCTATTTTATTTATCGTATCTTCTTCCGCAATGGAGCCTGTGAGTTAGTTGAGATCTAACTCGTATTGAATTCTTTAAAGTGTATAACATGGATAGCCATTTAGTTCCAGTGCAGTAGGAGTTGTTATAGTATGAATGCTACTAATATAACGAGTAAAAGTAATCTGAGAAGGAGTAACATATGGTGGTTGACATTATGCATTAAGGTGCCAGGATTTGACTATGAAAATGTAAATCAAAATGTCCGTTTGGAGAGCAGTCAAGAGGAAATAAAGCAGAAGTGTTATCTCTAAAATACTGCGTATAACATCCATTCCAAATAAGGAAAAGGAACCTGCCAATTCATTAGCAGCGCGTTTTTTAAAGGAAATCGTAGAAGTAAGAGTGACTTGTACAATGAATCAGATGCTACATTGCAAGATAAATATTCAAATTAAGATACGAAAATGTGGAAGATCCTCATCCCTTTAATTGGATCAAGATGATAGGTACCAACGGAGATACCTGCAGTATAAAGGTAATAGTATAGAAGTGTAATTAAATATTATAGAGATAAAAGAAGACCTTCAGGTGGAAATGACATACAGTTTTTGGGAGTACTTTTTGCGAACTGGCAGAAGAAACCTCAACGATTTTAATCGGGAGAACGGTGCTAATATCAAAGTACTGCGTGGTCAGACTGTAAAAGTGGGAGACCTAGAGAACTTGAGGTAATACTACATTAGATAGATAAGATAAGTATGGGAAGAGGAATGTCCATATTAATACATAAATTTTAGTCTCTATCTCCGCAAAAAGATAAAGAATTACTGTGCCGAGAACAAGTTAACTATTCCTGAAATCATCGTCAAGGGCTCCATTCTATCAATTAGGAAGCAAAACGGGGATTTCAAGGTAACCATCGTTAGACATTGACAAAGTACAACATTATAATGACTAATTAAAGAAATATAAATCAACCGAACTGGCCATACTACTAGGTTGGAATTATAATGACTGGAACGGAATCCCCATCAAGAAGCTGTTGACAAGCAACGAATTAAAGAATTATGAGGTATGTCTAGTAACGACATAATCCTTGTAAGTAAAGTTCTAATGGTGTTTTTTAGAGGGAAGGAAAAACCTTATGGGGTTCCTTACACCTAGAGAGTATAGTATCTTCGAACAGCAATAAGAATGAAGTTAGGACGCAGCTTCAAGTTGTTGAGGTGAGAGGTGATTTGCTGAGGTGAAATGAGCATACAAATATAAATCTTGAACCAAGGTATTCAGGAAGGTGTAAATGCACGTAAACGTATAGCAGATGAAATTGAAACCAATCATCCTAAGATGTCAAGAAAAGACGATGACCTGGAAGGCGACGTGCATCAATAGAGAAATGATTCAAAGTTTCAATCCAACTATTAACATTGTTGTGTTAAGTTTTAATAAATATTGTTAAGTTAATATGTAATAACTAAAATTAAATGAATAGAGAAACGGAAAAGCGAGGCGTCACCGACGCCGTATTGGACCACCGGTCCAGAAAAAATCACCACCGGTGACAAGGAGGCAATAGCCTCTAAAAAGTAGAAATAGTAGCTAGTCCCGATTGACGGAACTGGTGTTCCATTGACCTCGGGTTGCCCTCGTAAAGCCAAAGGACACCAGCACTGTCCAATAGTAAAGAAAGTGAAAGAGTAGGGAAAGGGGAATAAAGGATATAAAAAGTGATTCGTTTCGCCTCCGACTCAGACGAATCACTGTCTTACGTCATCCCCCTGAGGCTCTTCAGTGAGTGGGGGATGACGTATAAAAAGTATATGTAATGAGCGGTGAAGTGTACTGAAAACATTCCTAATGGTTAACTATGTATTATTGTAGAAGATAGAATAGGTACAAGTGGATTAATATGTGAGTGGGTAGAAATAGAGTTTGGGGAAAGGAGCGATATCAAGGAAACCATTAAAATAATACTCAGGTAACGCTGTATACGCAGTTAATTTATAGCATTATTTTGTCAATGGAGCTAATTTGTATTAACTATACCATTAATCAAGGAACAAATACGCTTGTAGTTGTCAATAATCGCAAATTTGTAACAGATAAGTTTATTTTTATAAATGCTCTTAACTATACTGGTAGTAATGAAATTCTTATCATATCCATTATTTTTCAATATAACAATCATTTCTTTTACCTTATCTATAAACGTTTCATATAGAGTGCATGTATGCGCAATTCTAAGGGTCTCAGTAAAGATAACTGAGCTTTTATTATTCTTGGAAATATTAGTGTCACTTTGCGGAAATCTTATGACTTTGAAATCAAAGTCATCTGTTTTATTATATAGTTCAGTTATAATTCTGTTATCTATAACAGGGCGTAGCACAAATGAATCACACTTTTGCTCGAACTCCCACAGCAGCACTAAAGCTTTTCGAATATGGGCTGTACGACCTGAAAGGTCCACTTGTAAGGGAATTCTGATTAGGAACATTAGCTGAGAGCACTCCTTTTTGAACTGTGGTAAAAGTCCTTTCATGAAAATGCACTAGAGACAGTATCTGGACCAACCACAGTGACGTGTAACGGCGTGCCAGTCGGTGACCGCTGAAAAAGAGCAAAAGCGTTTTTTTTACTGGGAATAATTGAAATTTGAGACGAAGTGGTTTTTACCAACTATTCGAATTACGGCTTTAGTGAACATTCGGAAAATTGGCGTGTTCATTCTACTGGCAATGCAGAGGTAGAATACCTTCAATGAAAAATCAACGTAGACTTTTCTGCGCTTACACAATTCAGTGAAAAATAAATTGATCAGATGTTGATGATCACAAATTGGGGAGAGCAAATAATAATGGACGAGAAACCTTCCTGAGCTTGTGCATGGTCCTTCATAGTGAGCCGATACATCGTGTACTGCTGATGCTGCTATGAGTATTCGTTCGTCTTCTGAAGGAGCATTCGAAAGCGAAGAATTGATGGATTTTTACCATGCTAGAAATTACATGTGTGAATTCATCGGTCAGAGTTCACACAGTATTTCGCCACCACAATGCACTATGAACACATCAGTTAAGTTCAAATGGCAGAACCAGTACATTTGAGGTCGAGTTAGTGGTCTCCGTACTGTATTTGTTCTGTAACAATGCCATTAACCAAGGAAATACTGACCTGAGCTGATACTGAGTATTAACTCAATACGCCCTCTTTGGAGGTTCGTTTATTGTAGGTGTAGGTCTAATTTGGAGCAGTCTCCCCCCCCCGTTTTTTGCTGCACCTACTGTTGATGGTGTGGTACCTATGAGAGTTGGCCCTTCGTGAACCTACTAAGATGGTATCAAGTGTTCGCGTTGGAGTTGGTCCAAACTTGCAGTATCGGCAGCCACTACCCTTCCGAGACATCTACAACCAATCGGATCGACCAAAATTCCAAAATCTCCACGGCTTTTCGCCACGTGATGACATGTGCCTCATAGGATATGACTCCTCCCACAGGAAAGAAGAAGGGATCCTTTTGCTTTTTCAAAGCAATGTTGACCTGCTCTGCACACTCGAAAAATTGAAACGTTGCAGCAAAATGAGTGCGTCCCAATGCTGAAATGTATGCTTTCCTGTCGCATGGAATACGACATTAAAATGTAGGGGTGCGATGTCAGTAAGAAGCTTATTCACACATTTATTAATCGACTCCGCGCAAGGAAAATGCCCGTCTTCACGCTTGACCAAAAGTGCTGGGGCCTGTGATTAATGTAATGGGAACCAGCGAAGCCTCAATAGCTTCTGCATGAATTTCTATTGGCATTCTCTTGATGATTCTCTTGATGATTGCATTTCGTGATGCAGCAGCCTTCTGAGGTTTGTGGTGTTTATCAAAACTAAAAAAGCGGCTATGCACGTGGCAATATGGGACTCCAGGACTCAACCCTTATAGGCTCAACGTGAGAGATATATTGGGGAAGGTAAACAGTTTTACAAGGGAACTCATGACACGACCGCTACCTATGTTTCTTTATGATATATGATTCTTAATCCCCTTTGGTCGATTTTGGAACAGGCAAGTACCAAAAGAAGGTTCAGGAAATGAATTTTTGCGTTTCGCAACCTCATACGCGAGATTGCACTGAAAACTTGTTGTCGTTGAGACTATCTATTATTCGTGTTGGTATTCATCTTTTATACGTATGAAGTATTCCCTTTGTTCGAGAAGCCAAGTAAGAAGGAGGCGATACCGCTAGGCTACATTATGCTCAAGAAATTGCTAGAGGAGAGTTATTTCAGGAAAGTCTTAGGCAAATGTTTGTGTCCATAATGCATCACATTGCTTTCCTATGTGAATCTTGCTCGCCACAACGCTTATATCCTATATACATTCCTACAGTACGCCTTGTCGGTATTCGGTGCTCCATCTGACTTATGGTCTTGAGCCTTGTTATTTATTCTGTTTTCTAGACAGAAGCATTTATGTAATAAATTATTATAATAATTCTATATAATGGCTGTTTTCAAGCTTGGCCAGAGCCTTCACCTGCAACCTTTTGGAATTACATTGGCAAGATTTGTGACACATGATGAATGTGATCGAAACCTTGATAACTTCTACGTTATGTTCTACCTCTCTTTGCAGTTATTGATGTGATGATGAGCCCTCCTTCTGGAACACATTTTCAAACATGAAGAAAAACCGAACGGACTTGTCAAACGTGGCAAACATGCAGAAAAACGCTAGGTCGACAATGTTTTAATAATATTTGCACTTTTACTGGTTTCACAAAATTAATAGGGGGTCCATATAAAAGGAGGTGGTATTTGAGTAACATCACTCTTCAACATGTGCTGGGTGGAAACTTCTGATTCCGTTGCCAGTATGTGGTGAGTGTCTCTCCTTGTAGCGCCTTTCCTCCTATCAAGTAAAACTCTTTTATAGGTAAACCACCTCGTGGTTCTCACACACGGTAATAACGACACCACAACAGAAGAGCCGTCTACAACGACGGAAGAGCCGTCTACAACGACAGAAGAGCCGACTACAACTGAATCAACCACTATCGCAACTACGGTTGCTCCCTGTTGGTTTCAAGACAGCATCCTTTCTATTCACACTTTGCTATCTTTGTCCTCCAGAAATTTGGTTCAACCTGAAGAGCAGCTTGGAGGGGTTGGGTTGAGGTTGGGATAGGTAGAGCGTAGGGAAAAATGTAAAGAAAAGCACATGACCCATGAGAAGCCCACCGCAGCTGGGCGGACGCATGGTGGCGAATCAATGGGTGGCGCGGTGCAAAACTTATCATTTGCAATCCAGAGATGGTTAAGCAAGGGGTGAAGCCAACAAGGGCTTGGCAGATTAAATCTAGGACTCGCATTCGGAATGGGCGGGGCGTGCACTGAAAGAGCGTTGCTTCCGGTGCCACTGGAAAATTTATAATCCCGCTTCGAGGCAGTCCCGAGATGGGGGGGGGGAAATGGGGTGAGGTTAGCAAAGGGCTGAGAAACCAAGTGGAGAGAACATCTTCTGAATGAGAGGGGGGCGTAATTGAGGTGTGCGATGCTTCCCACGAATCAGTAAATTGCTCCTCGAGAGAGCTCAAATGTCGCAAAGAAACCCCATGGAGACGTGGATAACCTGCTGAAAGTAGGGTATGTCCGCGTTGTGCCGAGACCCGCCCACAAGGGGCGGGGCTACCCCCAAACATGAATCAATCATTCCAGAAGCTGTGTTTCAGTCCCGCAGCTCCCCAGGTACCGGGTAAAGGGGATTTTGGGACAGCCAAGGGACACCGGATGGAAAGAGGGAGATACAGTCAGAGTGGGTGGAGTGTGCGCAAAGGTGGGCTTGGCTCAACTCAGCAATTAAAAACTATTCAGCCCACTCCAGACACCGAAAAGAGGTGTATCAAGATTGGAGAAGGGGCGCAGCACAGTCAGTGACGAGCTCACTGCTACTATAAGAATGACGCTGTGTAGTACTGACAAGGGAAGGATACCTAACTCGTCCTGGCCATTCAGAATGAGATGTATACTCCTAGAAGCGTCTTCGGACGCTGATATCAGATCTGACTTCCAAATCTGCTAAACGATTCTGGGTGAGGAGTTACGGACCTTTTTTGCTACTGTGCTTAACCATTGCGGTGCGCCCCCCTGCTTATGCTTCGCGCTTGTAAACCCTTCGTGACCCAACCGCCATCGTGGCTCGGTGGCGCAGTAGGTAAGTGGATGGACTCATAGTCGTGCGATGGAGGTTCGAGTCCTTGATGCATTTCGTAGTTTTGCTTTTTCTTGAAACGTGCGCTCAACACTTGGGAAGTAGTTTTGCATACCTGTCCGACCACCAAGACAACTCCCTGCTCTTTATTGAGCCCCGCGAACGATTTTCGTGAAAAATTACACTTCTA